CTACTCCAGCTCAGCCCCAGCACCAGCCTGGGGCAGGCAGCAGAGCTGGAAGTGTAACAGATCCTCTGCCGCTGTGCAGTTTCACCCACACTCCGCCCTGCACCATGTACTCTACCCCATGCTCCTGTGCACTACATTGCTCAGTCTTCCCTGTACTCCCTGCTCCCATACTACATGGTCTCCCCCATGTTCTCCCTGTGCACCATGCAGTCCCCCCTGAGCTTCTGCACTGCAAGCCCTTTCTCCCCACCTCCCCCCTCCGCATAAGCCTCCTTGAGCCACCCCCAACCTTGGCCAAGCAGCAATGGTGGTGACAGCTCTGTCCCCCAGGCCTGGCCCTAGCCCAGGACAGGTGGCAGCGGCAGCTGAGTCTCGGGCCAGATTGGGGCTGGAGCCACAGCAGCTGCCTTCCCAAGCTGTTGTTCAAATCCAAGACAAGGCTTTTTCTCCCCATGTGGTAAGGGAATAATACCTTGTCTTGGATTTGAGTAAATATGGTATTTGTGGTGTCTACAGATGTATATAATATTGTATATGTAATATATATATATATATGTATATGTATATATATGCATATGTATATGTAATATGTAATAATGTATATAATTGATATATATAATCAAGCTTCCTTGATTATATATTTACTGTCGGATGATGGATACAATTATTGACTAGGATTGGGTAAATCCTGGTCTCCTCAGAACTCTACCACAAGCACCCTTATTTATGGGTTTTCCCCATTGACAGCTAGTTTTTAATAGTTGGTCTTAATTTATTTAATGGGTACTTTATTGGTTATATATGGTGCAACATTAAGTGCCTTACAAAAGTCAATTTGAACCAAATTTTAATCTCATTAAACTGAAACCAAATTTATTTGACGTGATCAGTATTCCATAAATCATATTGACTGGCATTAATTTTGTTCCTTTCCTTAATTTGTTACTGTTATTCAATAATTCTGTGTCCACTTTCCCATTATTTCACCTAAAATACATTATTAGGGTCATTCCACTTGTACTACCTTACTAAAAAATCAGTATTGGTCTCTTCAAGCAACAGCTGGTATCCAAAGCTCCTCTTTTTTGTCTATAATATCTGTTCTTTTGCAAATCTGGTTTGAAAAGATACAATATATGCTTTCATTTAGGAGGTAGGAACTGAGAACCAGCATTGCAAAGAATTATTTCCTGCTAGAGCATTGTTTTACTCTAATCTTTCACGTTTGTTTCTAAAATAGTTATACTAATAATTCTTACCTCATTTTCAGACTAGGCTTTAACTAGGGATGAAGGCATGTTCTTGAGTCAGCTAATTTCAATTAACTAACTCAAGGTGAAATACTAATGGTGACAATGGAGTTCATAGCTTGAATTAAAGTAAAGGCTACATCATAGTCTATGGCAATATTTTCACTGCAAATTGCAGTTTCTACTGTGGGAAGACAACGAAAACAAGCTTTTACTCTGGCTATTATCTTGTGTGAAGACTACAGTCTGCCTTGTTTTTAATAGGCTTTCTCTGTTGAAAGACAGCTCATTTGGGTTAACACAATTTTCCCCTGATGAAGAACACAGAGATGTGTGATGCATAACACACTCAATGAGATCCATAGATGAAATTAATTACGTAAGCACAAACGCTAAAAGAAAATTATTGTCAAGTCACTCCCCATATCCTGGAATGGTGTAGTACATATAATATGTGAAAAATACACAGTGCTCTGACACCTGTGGGGCAGCTGCATGCAGTACCCATAATGGGTAGAGTATGTGGTGAGGCCGCAACTGCTGGACAACATTCTGGTTGAGAACAGGAAAGCAAATTGAAAGAGAGGTCATCTGGAGAGAAACTCATCATTCCCTGTGGTATAATAAGATATTTAAGTTAAAATTTAGCTGGTCATTCAGCTTGCCCAGGATGGGCCAAAAGTAACTTCTTCCTTTAATTCTCTAGCTGTAGCTCAGTAGGTCAGGGGATGGCGTCATAGCTTCCTCTGTCTCGCTGACTGGCTTTTGTAGAGACAACACACCTTCTAATGGGAGTTAGAGAGAAAAAGCAAGACTATAGTATGAACTCTGTAGCCTGGTATTTTGCTGGAGGTCACAGTAGACACAAAAGTAAACTCTCTTCTGTGTGTGTGCATGTGTATATGTGAAGTTTGTTGCCATTCTGTTGCTATTGTTATTATTTCTTGCTTTACAGTAGAGCTGAGGAATCCGTGCCCCCGTGTGGTGGTGCTGTATGTAAACATTTACAGAAGTAAGCCTCCATTTTGTGGTAGAAAAGAAAGACGCTATAGTAGTCAATTAGACGCCTTCATGTTTTTTTGCTGTCTGCTTTTTATTAAAGTTCCTTATTCTGAGTTAATTTTGTTTGCTGTTTTTGGCTTTTGGATTATTTTGCTGTTTTAAAATGTAGCTTCATTAACATATTTTCTGCCACTCTTCATTTATTTGATATAGAATAGCTGCAATAACACAACAGCTTACTGCAATTTGTTTAAAATATTTTTGATTTACCATCTGTTACATCCACCTTATTATTTTTGCTTTATTTTGGTTCTTTAATTTCTTTCTTATAGCACTCTGATCTTTACTCTGAAGATAACCTTGAGTTGCTGTGAAAGCAGAGCATTGATTAGTTATGTTACTTAGATTTGCTTCATATCACGTCATAAATTACACAGTTTCATGATTCAAATCCTAAACCAGGTGGGTGACTTTTTTACAAGCTCTCAATCCTTATAGTTGACAAATAGATGCTCAGAAAATATGTTGCAGTGTTTCATTTATCAAGCTTGTAATTTGGCTCTAAGGTATCATTAGACATTCAGGAATAACAAGGTTTCTTGTCTATCTTTGCTAAACAAAGGAAGTTATTAAAAAAAAAAAACGATTCAAAGGATAACATATGATTTCATATTGCACACTATACAGTATGTATCCTAAAAGAGTTGCTGGGTCACAACTGAATTTTCTACCAGTCTTATGACTACAAGAATGTTTTTAATAATAGTACTGTCTGGCCTGCTTGACTCAAGAGAGAGCGCATTGATATTTATCTGCCAAAACCCCCAGACTTAACCAAAGCTTCCTCTGGACTCAAGCCAAGGTGTGTTCAGAGAAAGACTTTGTTCTATAGCTTTCTGGCAAAACTTACAGACCATCCTGGAGGCCAGTTTTTGTCCTTGCCACTGTATATAAGCAACTTGCATGAAGGTAAAAGGGAGTTTTTCCAGGGTGTCAAATCCACAATCAGGTTTTGTGCTTGTTATGTTTTTCTTGTTAGTACAGTATGAGTTATTTATGTAGTAGCATGGTTGTGTTTTTACTGTCAGTTTTGCCTGATAACTCTAAATTTTTATGACGCCTCTCTTCATACATGTTAGTGTAAGTTAGAGGGAAATCATGCTTTTGAAGTCCCAACTTGAGGTGGTTTAATTTATGGCCCTGATTCACCATTGTGTTGCCCCAGGTAATTTTATATGGCTAAAACTGGAAGAATGCAGTGGTATATCAGAATTAGAGCATTTTATTGACAACTTTGTCATTATTTTCAAATGCATTTGTTAGTTGAATTCAGCAGGGCAGTAATAATATGAGGAAATAATTTTTCAAACATGAATACCTAAATTGCACCTACAAAAATGTGCATGCAGTTATTGTGTACACAAAACTCAAATTTCTGTGCACAAATCAGGTCTCTAACTTTACCATATTTGACATACAATCTAGGCTCACTCATATTTGATCAACTGCTTTACTGCATTGTATATTGCCTGTGATAGATAACATAAAATCATTTAATAAACTTTGATATGTTATTGTCTTCTACCTATGTTCTCCTATCAATACATGATGATTTTACTGATATAAATGCTTTTCTTGTTCATTAATAAGACAATTAAACCACCATTGTATTCCATTGTCTGAAATCCACATGTAAATTAATATTTAAGCTAAATTCAGTATCCATCATTGTTTTCTAAGTATGTTGGGACTAATCTTGCAAGATGCTGGGTGCATCTACACATGCTGTTAAGGTGAAGCAATAAAGTCTAGTGCTTGTCATGCCAGAGTTTATTGCTCCTGGATGCCATGTTTACATGTGTGCCCAAGATTGTAGCACGTTGAGCTGGGTCAGAGCAGCCCTGGTTGGTAGGGACCCAGGGCGGGGTGGTTCAGCCTGCCAGCTCAGTGCATCTCTGACCCAGCTCAATGTGCTGCGGAGGGTCTGGCTGGGCCATGAGGGTTATCCAGCGTGGGGCTAGCCAGCAGACAGGCCCTGCACTGAAGCACCCTCATGCCACAGCCAGTCATGTCACATCTACACACGCGCTGCTGCTCATGGAAAAACTCTGCAGTAGGATAGTACTTGTATTAATTAGTTTCCTGTGGCTTAATAGGGCTGTACATGTAGACAGGAGATGTTTACTGCAGAGCTAATTAGTCTACTCCACAATAAATGTCTCATGTAGACACGCCCACTGAATAGCTTTTGTATATAATTCACCCAATCAGCTCAAGGCTTGGGTTCCTATTTTGAAGGGTTGCCTGATACTAATTATGATTTGATTCTGAATCATACCTCCTGGCAGAGGCTGAAAACTCTTGAGTCTTATTTAAGTTAAATGAGATCAGCAGTTTATAGGAGATGTTTGGTGCCTGACATGCACACCCAATTTTTAGAAAAGCTGGTGTTCTGCCCTATGTCAACAGTCTGACGTGTTCCTTCTCTGTGTTTCAGGACGAGTTGGACTATGGAAAGACATCTTTACTGTTTCAATGAATGAGAAGTTTGATTTAGTTTATAAACAGAAGATGGGAAAGTGTGACCTCACATTTGACTTTTATTTATAAAAATGCATGCATACAATATTCAAATACTAGCTAGAAGTGCTTTATGCATTCATTTATTACTTGCTGGACAAACTACTGTAGCTATTGTGTGTAACAAGATTTAAAAACAAAAAAGTTTGAACCACAGGGAATATGATTATGATCTGGAACACCTGTTTATCTTTTAGTACTTATAATCCTTCATTCACATTCAAGAACCTCCTAGATAATATTAGAATACTCAGCTGTTATGGAATGTATTATATAAGGTATGTATCATATATGCAGCTAGAATGTACACCTTTTCAGTTCCACAACTATTAATGTATTTTATAAAAGCTTTTCATTGGAACCTAATTAACTTTTAGAAAACCAAATAAAAGTTTATTTCAGAGGGAAATGAGTAACAGGCCAAAACTGTATGCGAGAGTGATCTCAGGGGTTTGTTGTCACATTTATTTTTATAGCCGGAGTAACAAGTACAAAATAACCCTGTCCCAAAATGGTAATGGTCAAAGATGGGGACTTCATTTAATTTCTGCACTTCCATTATCTCTGTGGTTTCTGAGGGGATACCATTTACTGGCGAGACTGGCCAGTTCATGAGACACAGCTGTGGTCACTGCCCCCCGCCCCAAACACATACACTTACACACGCTTTCACAGCTGACAACATGTAGTTGTATTCATAGCGATGAGGTTTGTCCTTGGGCAGAAGGCCATTAAAAGAATCCTTTTGCCACTTGAGTCTCATGCAGGCATTCACAATAGTGTGATTTAAGTGGTACACAGACCTTGTGCTGGACTTATGCTCACAAGACCATTTTTCCTGCGGTTTTCTATTCCCTTTCCTGGTTTTCTGTAGAGACATGAGTTTGAGAATGAACATGTCAAGACAAACAGTGCTTTCTTATCTCAATGAAATCACAGCACTTGAGGGCACTCAGTGTTTTTGCGCTACGGGACCCATTTAGACATAAGTTGATGGATGTCTAGGCTGGTACAAATACGTAAATGAAATAGCAGTAGAGAAGATATTTGATAAATATTCCAGTAGAGGGGAGTAGAACACAAGCAGCAGTGCAGGATACAGTTGCAGTTACTGACTGTCAGCCATGAACAGTCTGAATTCTAATCAGGATTCAAGTTTATTTCTGTATGTCTTTTTAGTTCCCTAACTTGCCATCAGGTAGTTACATACCTAGCCTGGAGCAGTCTACCATTACTGTGAGATTCTCCAGAATCATTTTACTTTTGATCCTCATTTAATTGCATTTATATTTTTACGTTTTCAGCTGCAGGAGGCCCTATTTTACTAGCCCTAGATTCTGGCTCAGTAAAAGTTGTGACAAAGGACTAGCAGATTTTAATATTTTAGTTCTATTGGAAAATAACCTGTTGATACAGCAGTTGGCAAATTGTGTAGCATGATGTTGCTTGACAGCACTTTTCCTTGTATATTTGTGAGTGAAACTGCTATCAGTGAAACTTTATTTCTATTTTTATATTTTTAGTACTGTATGAATATTAAGCACTATACATTATACTTCTGTGCTTGCTTGCTTATTTAATAAAGACATGTTCCATGCATGGTGTTTTGTTCATTTGTTTCATGAAAATGTATAGGCTGAAAAACATCTACCCTTTGGGTAGCTTTTCACATGGTCCAGGGTGATGGGGGTGGGGGTGGTGCTTTGATTACAGCAGCTTTCAGGAGCTGCTCTAATTAAAGTGCCTGCAGCATTTTGTGTATTCAGCATCCCACACTTCAAAACGGTGGCAGGGGAACTTTAACTAAAGTTTGTTTGGCGAGCTTTAGTTAAAGTGTCCCTGCCACCATTTTGATGCGTGGGGATGCTGAATACCTGTGATGCTCAGGCTGCTGGAGCATGCCAATTGGCATGCTCCAGAAGACTTGGTTAATTGAGTCTGCTCCAACGCATGCTAATTAACACACGTCAGAGCAGGTGTCTGGTACATGTGTAAGTGCCATTTGAGATCACTTTTCTTGTCAAGTATCAAAAGGCCAGAGGCACATATATACTGCATTGGTAGCTAAAAGATTCAGCCTACACAGAGGGCCAGTGACAGTGATGTTGATGGGGGGCTGGAGGGAGGAAAGTCAAAAACAAGCTACCCCTCAAAGACAGACCAACTCTCTTTGTTAAGGAAATACCATCCTCCTCCTACTGTCCAGGAGGACTTTATTTCTAACTCAAGTAACCTGCTGTATGCAAGAGTGTTGTCTCCAGGACTCAGGCTGGGGAGTGTTACCCTGAGCTCCTCTTTCCTACATCATGGTCCTTGATCTCATTTTTGCAGTGTTAGTCAAAATTCATCCTTGAGAAGAAAACCAGCTCAAAACTTGTGCCCAGAATAACCTCAAACTGTCCTTTAAGCACTGTGGCCCAGATCCTGAAAGGTATTTAGGTACTTACCCTAAAGTGCTCAAATACTTCTGAGGATCTGGGTTTTGAGGTGTAATCCAAATAGGGGTAATGCATAGTCTTCACAATGGCTTTCTGAATTTTCTCCACAGAGAATGCCTCTCTGAGCCAAATATAATAAAACTGATGACAACAGAAGAGGGGAATAGGAAAAAAGGTTTATAAAAATCAACAGAGTATTTGGAGAAATTTTCTCAATTATTCCAGTAACATTTTATAAACAACTATATTTTTATCTCATGTTGAAAGAGCATTCTACTAGCTTGGAACAGCAATTAGAAGTCAGTTTTGATGAATTTCATTGTAATTTATGTATGCAACTTGGGAAGCATTTAATGTTATAATTTTGCAGAGCACAGGAAAAGTTGTTGGATGTCTCACACTGGTAATTATAGTGATACTACAAATATACTAACAGATAAAATGGCAGTCTGCTTTTCTCAGGACCCACATCCTAGAAGACACCGGACATCCTCAACTTTGGTGAAACCTAATGGGAATTGAAGCCAGTTGGCACCTCAGAGAGTCTGTCCACCACTGAGCAGATATGCATTGGTCCAGAGGGCCTTGATCTGGGTGCAGTTTTCAAACTGTCAAACCTGATCTAGAAAATAGTGTGACAGAGTAAACATGGTTAAGGCACAAAACTGGGTGTGGGGGTCTGATTTCTAATCCCAGTTGTACAGGAGGCCATGCCAAGCTGCTGTAATTTAGGCCCCATCTACACCAGTTAATCAGGCCTTAAGTGGTTGCACAGCCGTACGTTTGTTCAATTATAGGCATGATAAAAAGAGGAATAAGCTACAAAGTTATTCCACAAAATGTGTAATAATTTTGTTGCTGCCTCCTATCCTGCTATTAATTGAATGTGTGGCCAGGGAGCCCTGTCAGCAAATTGGAGCTCCCAGCTGTGAGGGGTCACAAGTATGGATGACATCCCCATGACATGGAGCACCCCATGGCTGGGACACTGCATCATTTGTGGTCTTCCAGCTTCAGAAGTGCATGAAGCATGGCTGGGGCACCACAGCTGGGACACCATATCAGCTGCAGTCACCCTGCCATGGGGACCCCATGGGGTGCCCCTACAGCTGGGAACCCTGTCAGTGGAGGGGGCTCCCAGCCACAGGATCTTGCTTTTTGTTGGTGCAGGGTTTAGCCTAAGCTCGGGCTCCCCCTGCACCAGCAATGAGGCATGATGGGATCGGATTCATGATATCACAATCAAGCCTCGTGCCATGCATGCTGGGCACAGCAGGAGGCACTATTGTGTGGACTTTACATTACATCTCATCGTGCCTTTACCTGCCCTTAGAGCCACACTGAGGCTTCCTTAAAGAGATGAAACAGCTCCCAAGAGGGCCCAGGGCTGAAATGAAGCTCTGTTACAGCATACCTCAGGTTTCAGCTCCTTGTTATCTAACTGCTCAAAGCAGGTTTAATTAAAAGTGTTTACATGCCAGGAGCAACCAGAAGCCTTCTTGAACTAGGACTCCCAACAGTGCTCATGGAACTAGGACTCCCAACCATGGAGCTCACTGCATGTTAGCACAGTTGAAGTAATTTTGCAAAATCTCACGTGCCTAGGAACGATTTAAATGGTCACTAGATTTTAAATTAAGCATTACAGGTACATACAGAAAAAAGAACAGTGTGAGAAATTTTCACACTTTCATATTTTGCTAGTGTTCAGTCCTTTTTTGTGGGGAAATATATAATAATATGGCAATCACTACTGAGGCTCAGTTGCTTGGACTATAATTATAAATGCTCTGATTTGTTAGTACCGTTGATCATTCAGATTCTTCCTCCAAGCTTGCCCATGTTATAAAAAGCCACTTAGTGGCTAAAAGAAGATATTTAGAAAGGCTTTAAAATAGATCTAGTCTCTATAATCAAAGGGAGAAGGCTAAAAAGAGACTCAGCTAAATTTAATAGTAAAAAAATCAATGACCACTGGAAAAAGAAGAGTCCCTATATCAGGAAATGTAAATTGTTGCTGGGGGACAAACAGCAGAAATGTTATAAATAGTATTATTGTACTCCGTGTATTTTCTCACTAAATCATCCATCATCTTGTTTGTATAAAAGTGGTTGAATCACAAATTTTGCAGCTGTGTATGATTCTGGTCCCTTTTGAAAAACAGATGATGCAGAATAAATATAAACCATTATCTTTCCAGATAATGATAAACTGGGTATTTGGGCATGATGGTGGCATGTTAGCTGATAATGGAGAGAGAGTTCATGAAAATAAGCTTTTTCATTTAAGAATGGGGGAATCTCCTGCAAAATTAATTCTCAAGATGTGCAAACTTTGGTCACCCTTACAATGATGGGTAATGTTCATTTGTACCAACTGTAGAAACGTGTGTGCATGCTGCTTGCCTGTGCTTTCTTCCAAAGAAGGAAGGGAAGAGTCACTCAGCAAAGCCGATTCTCTTCTCTGACTGTATCTGTCCAGATCTACACCAATGAGCTTCCTTAAATATGTTGTTGGTGCAGTTTCATTTTCTCCCCAAAACAGGAAGCAAACTTCAGGTTCCTTTCAGAGCTGCTTTAAAAAATGTGCACTTTTCTTTTTGGGAAGAGCCACTCCTTTAAGGAATCCACTTACCAAGTAGCCTTGTTACAAAGTAATATGATCCTTCCCCAGATTTCCTTTACCAAATGGAATCCTTGTTCATGGAGATTTAGGTTCTGCTAATTTTAGCAATGCCCAAGGCAAGCAGGTCCAATAGATCAGCACCATGCACAAGGGCACCAGGACACAGTTGTGCCCCGAGGGAATTTGATTACAAAAGTGAGCTGCAAAAAGTGATGGCCATTCATGAGAAAAATAGTATTTATAATCAGGAGTCCTGCACTGCTACAAAATAATAGTATCTGCAATGAAAGGCTACAGTGGAGAATGCAGTTCCCTAAATCACTTACATTCTAATATTATAAAAGCCTAAGTCTGTCTGTCCGTCTGTCCATAACGCTTTATTTGCGCTCTGATGGGCTGACGGAAGCAGCCAGAGTGCTCCAAGCATGGAGGAGTGCTGCCATGATTCTGAAGCCGTGCTGAGGACTGGACAGAGGGTGGGGGAGTCCCCACCCCACTCACTGCAAGAGGCAGAACAGTGGCAGCATAGGGCATTGTGGTAGCACTCCATCCCAGCCCCCACCCCACCATCATTCTTGATGGGCAACTGGCTAGTTTTTAAATGAAGCCTATGCAGCCCAACTTTTCTCAGATGTGTCTTATACTTCTTTGGTATTTACTATTTCTAAGGTGCTACATCAGGGTAGGCAAAATGGCGGATCCAGCCACTGGCTGGACTCTATTTCCCACCAGCCTCTGCCCCATGTCACTGTGGCCAGTTTCCATGGAGACCCCAGGTGCAGTGGTGCCATGACAGCATGGGGCCAGGGTTTCCATGGAAAGCAGTGCTGGCAGGAAATGCAGCTAGGCAGGGAGCTGCTCCAAGGCCAGGGCTGGGCTTTTGCCCAGTGGTGACAGTGTGGTCCACAGCTGGGGTAGAGCCATGATCTGCTGCCTGCACACTTCTGCCCCAAATCTGGACCACACTGTCACCGCCACAAGATCCCAGCCCTGGAGCGGCTCCCCGCCCACCACACACCCTGCCAGTGCTTCTGGGGTTGGTCTTCATGGAAATCCTGGCCCCACACTGTCATAGCCCCACCACTGCTGGGGTCTCCATGGCAATCAGCCACAGCAACGTGGGGAGAAGCTGCTGGGAAATGGAGTCTGCCACAGGCACAATCTGGCCTGTGGGCTAGACTTTGCTCCTGTGCTACATGGAGGTGATGATCTCTGCCAACACTTTGTTTGTTTGTTTCATATTTGTAA